TTTGGGCTGAAGAACGCCGGAGCAACCTACCAAAGGCTGGTGAATAAAATCTTCAAGGAGCAAATCGGCAAAACTATGGAGGTATACGTGGACGACATGCTGGTCAAGGCCCCAAAACGTGCAGATCACCTCAAAAACCTCGCCGAGGCATTCAGCCTGCTCCGCCAATATCGCATGAAGTTGAACCCTAGTAAATGCACGTTTGGTGTATCCTCCGGCCGATTCTTGGGATACTTAGTCACACAACGAGGTATCGAGGCACACCCACGTCAGATTAAAGCTATTCTCGAGATGAAGTCGCCTTCCACAGTGAAGGAAATACAAAGTCTGACGGGCAGAGCAGCGGCCCTCAACCGATTCCTCTCGAGATCAACCGACAAGTGCAAACCATTCTTCAAAGCTTTGAAGAAAGGACAAAGAGACAAATGGGATGAGGAGTGCGAAGTAGCTTTCCAGAGTTTGAAGACTTATCTCACTTCACCACCCCTGCTCTCAAAGCCAGTCCCTGGTGAGGACTTGTTCGTGCACCTGGCAGTGTCCAACTCAGCTGTCAGCTCAGCTCTCATTCGAGAAGAGCTGGGGGCCCAACATCCGGTATTCTACACGTCAAAAGCTCTCCTCGATGCAGAGACTCGTTACCCAAAATTGGAGAAACTCATTTTGGCTCTTGTAGTTTCCGCGAGAAAGCTACGACCCTACTACCAAGCTCATCGAGTCATCGTCATGACCGAATTTCCTTTGAGATCAATCCTTCATAGCCCTGATGCTTCTCAGCGACTCATGAAGTGGGCTATAGAGCTAAGCCAATATGACCTCCTCTACCGGCCAAAAGCTGCAATAAAAGCCCAGGCTTTAGCTGACTTCGTAGCAGAGTTCACCCCATCGGCCGAAGAAGAGAAAATGGTCAACGAAAAGAAGGAAAGTTCAAAAGCAGACGGGACCTCTACTGAACCTAGCCAACCTAGAGACACGTGGCAGTTGCGGGTAGACGGAGCGTCAAACCAAAAAGGAGCTGGAGCGGGTGTCGTCATCATCACCCCGGATGGAACCTTGTTGGAGCAAGCTATCACGCTTGGCTTCCCGG